GCTTCTCGAATCCAAACTGGCATTTTTCCGGTTTAATCGTCAAGCCAGCTGACTAGATAGCCTGAAGTACCGAACGTAGTCGCTCTACATGCTGTTCAAACGTTGCTGAAAAAACCACAACGTCGTCCAGGTAGACTAAGCATGACTGCCATTTGAGGCTTGAAAGGACGCTGTCCATCATGCGCTGGATAGAATGTTGCAGGCGCATAACAGAGGCCAAATGGGAGTGCTTTAAACTCATATAGACCATCCGGGGTTACGAAAGCAGTCTTTTCACGGTCCCTTTCGTCCACTTCAATTTGCCAATAAGTGCTTTTTAAATCCAATGAAGAGAAGTACCTTGCGTGCCGTAGCCGATCCAACGTATCATCAATACGCGGCAAAGGGTAGACATCCCGCTTGGTCATGCTGTTCAGCTTTCTGTAATCAATGCAGAATCTCAGCGTATTGTCCTTTTTCCTCACAAGGACTACAGCGACGCCCACGGACTATTGGATGGCTGTATGACATCATCCTCCAGCATCTCTTTTGCTTGGCTCTTTATGATCTCACGTTCCTTCGGTGATACTCTGTACGGACTTTGGTGTACCGGCCTTGTAGCGTCATATGTTATTATTCGGTGTTTAACAACCTGGGTCCGCCGTGCTTTTGACGAGGTAGAGAAACATCCGGTGAAGTCTCTTAGGAGGTCTTGAATGATTTTCTTCTCGGCTGGGGATAGGTTTTGGCTGATTGCAACTCTTGCCACAACATCGAGCGCAGGTTCCGAAGTAGGTGGCCCTGACACCAGACCACATAAGTCTGTCACTGTTTGAAAACCGTGCAGGAAGGCGATAGCAGTGTCCTTTGCAACGTGCTAAATTTCGTTTCCGAAATTCATGAGCAATACATCGGCACATCCACCACGTAATTGAATAATGCCTCGAGCTACACAAATGCCTTTCTTGAGCAGTAGTTCGATGTTTGCATTCGCTATACCTTCAGAATCAACGAATGCTTCATTTGTTACACCGACTATTACGCTGCATCGTGGCGGCACGGTAACATCACAATCTATAACACGTAATGCAGTGTGTTCTGGCTCATTTGTGTCTATGGCCAGTTTGGTCGAAAAAGAGACACTAGAATTCTAGAAAAGAGACACTAGACACTAGAATAGCTCTGTTTGCTAGGAGAAAATCCATTCCGAGTATTAAATCTCTAGAGCATTCTGGAAGTATGACAAAGTCAGCAACGTAAGTAGCGCCTTGAATTCAGATTCGTGCGGTACATCTTCCCAGAGGTGTGATGAGATGAGTCCCAGCCGTGCATATCTGGGGTCCACTCCAAGGCGTCAGGGCCTTCTTTAAATTCTTTGCGGCAGCGTAACTGACAACCAAAAAATCAGCACCTGTGTCAACTAAAATGGTAAATTCACACCCGTCTACGGTAACGCGTAAGTCTGAAGAAATTTTGTCTTTACCTAACCTAGTTGTAGTGTTCCGCTCGTCGTTGCTGCACTGGGACCTTGACGGAGAATCTTCAGTTGGTCGGACATCAGCGGCCTTGCCTCCATAGGTCACTGGCTTCAGTTTTCCTGATGGGGACTGCTTGAACGACAATGTGTTGAGGTTGAAGGTGGAGAAGGTGAACTAAATCGTCGAGGGCTTGGCGATCGATAGCGAGCAGGCGCTGGTGATCTAGGCTGATGCTGGAAACCAGCAGTTGGAAACAGATGACCGGACAAGTAATCTTCAATTTCAACGGGTCTTTCGCCATTTCGGGGGCATGACGCGTTTCGAGAAAACCCACTGAGACCAACTCGTCGATATGGGCACATTCTGTACAGGTGTCCAGCTTCACTACAGTGACAACAGAGAGGCATCCTGTCGGGTGCGCGCCACACGTCGCTTTTTCGTGGCCTCGAATTAGCTGGATAGTTTGAGCCACGCGAAGCCGGTCGGTAGCCACTGGGAGCTGCAAACGAAGCAGTATGCACGGTGGGCTGGCGCACGGCATCGGCGTAAATCGGTACGGGGCGTTCCTGCAATTGCTGTTCAAGTCGAACAGGTTGCGCCTCGGGTTCGGCTTGAAGAATGGCGTGGCGAACTTCATCTCTAATCAGGGTAGTCAGAGACGAAACTGGCGTTGCGACTTGTCGGGGCAGCAGCTTCTGGAGCTCTTACTTCACAATTGATCGCACCATTTCCCTCAATGCTTCGCTGCTGCTTCCCATGTTTGCTGAGAGGACATCCGCAGGAACACTACTCGTGTCATGAATGTAGTGACGGGAGCGCTGCTGCAATGCCCGCTCTATGGAGGTGGCTTCGTTGCGGAATTCAGCAACTGTACGAGGTGGGTTTCGTACTAAACCGGCAAATAACTCCTGTTTGACACCTCGCATCAAGTGACATGTTCATGTTCAGGTCAGCGCGTTTGAAAAGGCGGGACATGTCCTCAATATACATGTTAACGCTTTTGTTCGTCCGCTGGTTTCTGGACTGTAGAACATTCTCCGCCTTCTCCCGACAATCAGTGCTGGCATATGTAGCTACTATTTGTCGTCCGAATTTTTTCTATGTCGGTATGAACACTTCTTGGTTTTCGTACCACGTCCTCGCTGCATCCTCCAATGCGAAGTACACGCGACGCAGTTTCCTTGCTTCATCCCAGCCGTTGGTTCTCGCAACCCGCTCGAAGTGTTCTAACCAATCCTCCACATCCTCGAACGTGTTGCCGTGGAAGGGCTCAGGCAAGCACGGTGGGGACAGAATAAGTTCCGATGATGTCACCTGGTAAGCCATCGTTCTGTTGTCTGTGAACGCTGTTTGTGTTGCTGGAGCACTAGGGAGGGGTGCAAATTCAGGCGGCTCTCCTCGGAGGCGGCGGCTTGAACGCTGGTGTACCGGAGTCAGTTCGCCAGGTTCCAATCGTTGAGGATCGGGGCTTCGCTCTCTTGCGCCAAGGGGGCTTCCTATCATACCCAGCACCGTCCACCAGAATGTAACGGGTGCAAGAGAAGAAACGTCAAAAACTAGTTTATTATAGGCAAACTTGTGCCCCGAAAATTATGTGCGAAAAGATGGAAGAGTCCGCTAGAGCATTCCAAAACAAAAACTTTTCATCTGCCAACGCACTTTCTTCTTCTTTGCAGCTCCAACCCACACTGACTCGTGCTTGTGAACAAGAGGCATGAGTCGTGCGGCCCCAAGCAAGAGTGCGCACAAGACTGTGGACGCTGATTCTTCATAATGTCGGATATTGTAAACAGTCTCTATGGCAATATATGGTGTTGGGGTATGTGGGTAAACCAATGCAGAACTAACACCACTGCAATCACCATCGTGAACAGTGACATATCTCTAGCTTTCTGCTATAGTTGCGCTCATCGGGGCTTTGGTTACAGTTCTGCTGCAGAATGAGGTTGAATTTCATTGCTCCACAGAAGTACTGGCGGCCAATTTTCGAAAGCCGCAACAGCTTGTTTGCAAGAAGGTAAGTAATTATCTCATTAGACTCTCCTACTGTTTCCAGTATTTAAAACATTAATTAATGTTATTTAAATACTGCCACAATTATAGTGTCTAGCGATTTCAAGATTTCTGACATCGTTCCGCGAGCCGCATAAAACTGCCCTGCGAGCCCCATGTGGCCCGTAGAAGGTTTGGCGCAATTTACATCGATTTTATCAGGTTGACGCAGCAAGTCTCATTTGGCACAGTTGGCGCAGGAATGGGATCCCTGTGTATTTTATTGCATGGAAGAGCCAATGGCTGTGCGCATGTACTACTGGTACATTCTGAAGTAGGCGGGACCATATTGTTGGCAGAGGGCTTTTTCGTGCACAGTGTCACATCTTCAAAGCAACCTAGAAAACACTAGGCTCTTTAGAATTTCGTATCTATTCATTATCTAGTAATGTAACACACCACCTTATACTACTTACGTATTGATGTTGCGCCTCAGATATGCGTAATATTCGCTTTTTGATCGACAATGCTTTTTGATCGACAAGTTTGAACGAAGCCACCAGTTCAAAATAACTGGGAGTTCGGAAAGTGCTTAAACTTTAGCTGGGTGGTTCAAGTGTGTGGCAGACAAACAGAACAAAATTTCTGGGTTCAAGCATCTTAAGAAAGGCTATCGCCTTTAAAAGTACAGCACTCTTCCACTGATACGACACTGGCTCAGTTGTAATTTAACTTGCTTAATTCATTTTCAACAGAAGGTCCTGTTCAATGCCTATTCATATCTATGGGACTGTATTTTTGTTATTTCAATTTTGAAACTGCCCTTACTCACAGAGTTCAAACTTGGTCATTCATCCCACTCGATCCCCGCCAAAATTGCGACCACAGTAATGGTTCTAACAATGTCTTTGCAAAGCTCAGGGAAGAACGAATGCAGCAATACCGCCATCCCCCTTTAAAAATACCCACTCTCCTGCCCGTTGCTCAACTTAATGCAGAAATGGTTGTGCAGATTGGATTACAGACGGGTACAATTTAAGGAAGTGGTATTAGCTCCTCAAAGATGGAGTTGAAGAAGCATGAATCAATGGCTAGGCTTGTAGACTAACAGCATAAGCTGGGTGGCCAGTGATCCTGGCAACGGAGAATGTGGCTGAAAAGATGAGCACGATTATTTCTTCAGTCACTATGAATTTGTCAACCAGGTAGGGCCTCTCCATCCTCCTCAAGCCATATCTCACTACAGTTTAGCACTCACATGATCTTACTGTGTCCTTTTAGAGAAATTATGTACAAAAATTTCTTGGGTGATTCAATCCTATACAGCTGGCATATTGGTTAGTCTGGTACAGGCCACTGTGCCTGTCGCATTTTTGAAGAAGCTGTTTGACACATGCGAAACATCAAACACCCCATCGACCGTAAAACAGACCACATACCTTATTCTTCATAATGAGAAAGGGCTGCTGAAGCTGGCCGGCTAGTTGCATTGACCATAACAATTCATATAATCCTAGAGTAATACCTTCACAAACCAAAATGAGTACTGACCCGGCTTTCTTGGCAGTGGCTGAGGTCCACTTCAATTTGTTGGGGGGTGGCACACCACCCTCCGGGTGACTATACAGACACGATGATGACTGGCATGCTGCACCAAACCTGCAGGGCTGCACCAGGAGAGAGGCACTAATCAACCTAAAGGTAGGGTTACACCACTACAGAATTTAATTCATTTTCAGTGTTTCTGCACAGCTGACGAGGTATTGGTCTTCCCAAGCAAAATTGCATTGACCAAATATGCAGGCTTGCACAAGTATTCAAATGCTTTGAATATTCATACGAATTGTAGAGTATCTAAATTTGCTTCGATTCTAATTTAAATAATTAAAAATTTCAAAGTATTTGCAATGAACGAATAGGTGTATATTAATCTGCATGTAATTGCCTGTAAAGGTGGTTCCACTGCAGTATTCAATGCTAAACCGCGAAAACAACAATCCAAGGAAAAGCCGGCTCTGCCGCAAAGCCTTCCTTCAAACGTAAAGGGGCCCAGCAACACTCGCTGAGCATGGTCAGAAAACGCTGCTGATCAGTAGTCGAAGCTGCCGAGAACGGCCGAAACAAATAATATAGCCCGGCACGCGGCCTGTAGTTTAAAATAAATTCTCGAAGTCAGCTAAGAATTGCTCACTATCCTCGGCAAATTACACTACAAGCTCATTCACAGCCACTGGCTGACATATGAGCACGGCGCGCTCGGTCGTTACTGGGGCCACCGCGGGAGGCTGCCGCTTGGCCACGTGTATGTGCCCGATCGCACTGAAAGGCCGTGTATTCAAAGAAAAAATACAAGAGGAGGTCACGAAGCACACATGACGTTTTTTACTTTCCCTGTGCCATCCTGCCCTGCTTAGCTTCCAGCTCTTTTGTGAGGACGAGAAGAGAAAATGCAATTGAGGTGTGCGACAAATCTTTGGAACTCCGCTCATTCTGAACCAATTCTAAAAATTTTGTGGTGATGAATTCTTGAGGCAATAAGCTTCTTTAGTGGCTCTATGGCCACTTGAAAAAGTGTTGCAAGGCCACTATGTTACCTTCAAATCAATTCATCATTTTATTATGCTTAAAAGCTTGTTATGATGGCTTACATGTTCTAAGTATAATAAACTTTAAATTGTTATATAATTTACAGGTTATCACCAGCATCCTACCGAAACTCAAATCCCGCTGCTACTCAAATTCAAAGACTTCCTTTGAATGGAAAAAAAAAAGACATTTGCGTAGAGCCACTATTTCAATAAATATATATATTTTGCAGATTACCAGGTCACAATAAATATTCCCATTTTTTTAAATATCAGATACATACCATTCGAATTCGATTTGAAATTATTCGACCAAAATCACTATTCGCTTTGAACGTAAAACTCACTATTCGCACAAGCCTACAAATATGGTCCTGGAATGATACATCAGCTGACTGCACTGTTTGTGGTCATGTCCTAAATGGACACAGTTTACAGGGCAGCTGCTGCAGTGCACTCGCATTTAAGCCCTGCATTAATTCAAAACACTTGAAGTTGTACATTTGGTGCATACTCTGACTATGTGTATACGAATTTTAGCACCCTAGGGATGCCAGCTTCAGATGTTCCACAAGGAATCAAGAGCAAGTGGAAGCAGCACAAACATCTTATTGGGAGCACGGCAGCGTGGAGTGAAGAGTGCAACTATCGTACGACGTGCGAGTATGTCCCACTGGCAGGCTTAAACATCTCTCTCACATGTGGCAGTTACGACACAGTCCAGCAGGTATTGAAAGTTCTGGTTGTCTTGCTGTGCTCGCAAAACTTCCATATCTTCCATTTAACACATAACCTGTTGGTCAGCAGTGACATGAAATTTTGACGGAACCTGCAACACCTTCTGAATGTGATCCCAAAATGCTGCCGGTCACATTCAAATCCCCTTAGACTGTGTGAGCCGGATATTATCGCGCTGCACACAGCAGTGGATTTAAAGTTATGTCCCAAAGAGAGCTGCACATGGCTAGTTCTCCTTTGAACAATTTACGTCCCTGAAAAAACCAACTATGTCACGGCAGAAAGGACGCGACCATTGAGCCATTTGAACTGTCTTGTGCAGCACGGTGCTTATTGTGCATCATGGCCACCACGAGGTATCGCCATGCTCTCGAAAGAAAGTCGATGTCTTGAAAGGAGAAAAAGGAGCTGAAGTGCTTAGAAGGAGAGGCTACACTTGACAGGCAACTTCTTTATTTATGGATAGATTTGAACCAAATTCTCACAGTTCGTGTATTTAAATGTACAGATTCTAAAAATGTTACTTTTTTGATATGCCAAGTAGTTTCCAAGATACTCCACAATCAATTTATAACCTGGGCCCTTTTATTTGAAGCTAAATTATAGCAACTAAGCAGGAAACACACACACACACAAAAAAATAACAGTGGTCACAGTGTCGAAATAATGTAGGGTGTTTAAGGGGAGACACGGGTATGGGAGGCCGAAAATTTTCCGAAAAACCAATTTTTTGAAGTATTTTTTTCATAATCATTAAGGTCTAACGAAGCTGTTCCTAAAATATTATAGCCCTGTAATGCATATTTGTCGAGTTATTGGGTCGCAAAGCCAGTTTGATGACCATATTCGCTTCCGAAACCACCTCGAAAACGGTCATATTCAACGCCGCGGCGCGCGAGAACCGCACCAAGTAGCGCAGCCATTTTGGTCTCACTTTGAAGACGCATTTTTCTATTATCTGTTCCTAGCAGAAAAACGTTTTTCGTCTAGCAACAATGCAGCTATCGCGCATAAAAAAAAACTGAATACTCGCACATCATTGGTGCGTTTTTGTCACGTGGGGCAGTTCCCGGTTTCCTATTGGACGCGAAGGGATTCGTCTGCTAGACAGCGGCATGCAAGCCGCCATTTTGCGTAGAGGCCTAACAACGGCTGTGCATTCGGTGCAATGGCAGGCGGTCATCGGAAGTTCCGGAGTGCTCATGCGTTCGGAAAAAGGCGAAAACGGCGTCCGAGAGCCCGCACCTTATCACCAGCAAGACCTTCTGCCGCTGAGAACTCGGAAGAGGCAGGCTGTGCCAGCGCTATCACCGCCACGGCACCCGCGATCGCGGACGCGATAGCCGAGTCCCAAGATCACACGAGAGCTGTGCGCGTCGACACTCCCCTGGTTTCCGACGCTAAAAAACTGGCCATCGAGTGCCGTGCGAGCGATGTTCTGCAAGATCTTTCATCGAAGTCTGCCACAAAACGCAAGCGGTCTTTTTTGCGAGATTCGGATGGAGCCGCAACGCCTGGTACGCCGTTCACCATCGTTAGCTTAGAGTTGGTCAACGAACTTCTTCAGTGTATGAAGTGCGGTGTGTGTGGCGGGCCTGGCAGAATCTCCAAGAAAGACCACGAATATGGCATAGCCCCGAAACTTGTTCTCACATGTGACGAGTGCGGTAAACTGAGGACCGTAGGGAGCTCGCCGAGAGCAGGGGGGACGCAGCGCACGCCTTCGAAATTAACGTGCTCGCGGTTCGCGCGGCAATGAGCACAGGAAAAGGGCAAACTGCGCTCAACGATATTTTTTCCGCCCTAAATATTTCACCGAGAGGCCTACACACCAACACATACCAGGATTATGTGAAATTGAAAATGAACCCTGCCGCGCAGAAGGCTGCCGCGCGCGTTATTGACGACTGCGCGAGCACCGTGAAAACGGTGTATTCCGAACTCAACTATGGAAATCCTGGAAATATCGCCGTTTCCTTTGATGGGACTTGGCTGACCAGGGGCCACTCATCCCATATTTGTGTAGGGACCGTGATTGAACTATTCACGGGATATGTGCTCGACTTCGTCGTCCTATCGAACTTTTGTTTGGGCTGCCAGCTAGGGCCGAAGGAGGACAACCCAAGGTATGCCGAATGGCTAGCTGGTCACACTCGCCAAAAGAATACCTCCAGTAAGCCAGGACAAATGGAGGTGGAAGCAGCACAAATTTTATTTGGCCACTCATTGGAGAGACATGTGTCCGCTACACAACCATGTTGTGTGATGGAGACAGCCGGGCCTTCAACAGTCTGCAGGAGGCACAGGTACATGGCTTCGTACCAATAGAAAAAGAGGACTGTGTCAACCATGTGCATAAGCGCATGGGCACAGCACTTCGAAACCTCCTGCAAAAACAAAGAGCTGAAGGAAAGCCAAGCCTTGGCGGCAAGGGCAAACTGACAGGCGAGCTGGTCACAAAGCTCACGTCATATTACGGATGGGCTTTACAAAGCAACCAAGAAAGCACTGAGGCCATGAATAATGCTGTCTGGGCAATTTTTTATCACGTAGCATCTACTGATGCAAGCCCTCAGCACTCTCACTGCCCAACTGGTGAAGAGTCATGGTGCAAGTACAACAAGGCTGTTGCCAAGCAGAAGACTCCTCCGAATCATCGCTACAACCTGCCGGAGTATGTGGTTGATACCTTGCGGCCTATTTGCACGCGCCTCTCTGACAAGGAATAGCTGGAGCGTTGTCAGCGAGGCAAAACACAGAACTCAAACGAGAGCCTGCACTCCGTCATCTGGTCGCTAGTGTCCAAAAACAAACACGCGTCGCTTTTCACCGTTGAAGCTGCAGTGGCCGAAGCTGTCGCAAGGTTCAACGCTGGCAAAGGGAGAGCAGATGCCGCCATATTGAAGGAGCTGCACCTGCAGCAGAGTGTTGTGGCCGCTGAAAGATGCTTAGAAAAGGACAGTCGCCGACTAGTGGCATCGGAGAAGAAGCATGAGCATGCTGAAAACTTCAAGCATGCCATGAAAAGAAAGCGCACCAAGGAGAATCATGATGACTACATTCCTGGTGGCTTCTAACATGGTTAATACACCGATTCACACCTTTTCTTGTTATATATAAGTGCTCAGCATGTTCCTAAACTTCTTTTCTCGTTTTTTCAAAACAACATTTTTCATCACACCCTAAGCCATTGCCCACAGTATCTTTTGACGTAGCAGTCGGATTTTGATAATTCTTGCAGCATTTGAAAGCTTATACATTGATTAGTGCAAGAAAACCAAAAAAATACAATATTTTTATTTATAATAGTGATTTAATTAGCAACAAACTTAAGCAACAGTTTCAGATTTCTAATGAGTATAATTGTTAAGGCCATAACTCTGGTACCAATGAAGCTAAAAATAAAATTATGGTTTTGTTGCACTCCCTGGCCTTCATGGAATGCTGTCATATCAAATTTGTAGCAATATTTTATGAGGAAGATGTCAAAAGGCTGGGCAGAATGCAAGTTTATGTAACAGTCAATATTTAAAAATCTAAATGTGATAGCAAAAACTAATTGCATATTTGTTTTCAGCTGTGAAAAATACATATTGTACTAAAATTTCAGCTGGAAATACTGAATATTAAAAAAAAATTTTCAGACCAGTGTCTCCCCTTAAGGAGTGCAATATGCTATAAATTGATTGGTTGGGCCCATTTCAACACGAGTTCGAGGATATAAATGTTCACAGAAAAAAAAAAAGCCGCCTTCACATGTGATACATGTGAACCAATTAAAAACACTTTTGAAGTGTATATTGCAGTCAAAATAGGCATATTGCTTACTGCATGCATTTATCTTTCTGCCAAAAAAATAATTATGCTGATAACTCAAACAGAACAGAAGCTATTTTTCTTTCAATAGGCAAATGTACCAAAATTGTTGTTTTGAGAAAACAGGATGAAACGTTTCAAAACATACTAAAATATACTAATAAAATTTTATAAAAATGCACCAGGGACACAATTTGCATGTATCCCATCCTTACGCTTCCATTTGACGAGCTTTCTCACACTTTTGGATGCTTATTTATTGGAACTTGCACTCTCCTTCTCCCTAGCCCTCAAGAATATGCTGCTGGATATGGTGATGTCCAGCTCCTCTAGAATTGCAGCAGATGCATTGAGATTTCCTGTGTTGAAGAGCAGCACAGCTTATACAACAGCAACTTGCAGAGCAAAAGAAGAAGCATGCTGCTACTCTGACACCAAACTCTAAATACCTGGAGTGGAGGCCTTCGTTTGAATTCTGAGTGTTGCCCCGCTGACATCTTTGGAGCAGGGCCTTTTCAGACGGCCTAGTGTGTAATGGCAACCTCTTTGGCAATTTTTCGCGTTGTTGCAAACATCGACGAAAGACCCTTAAGCATGGCCGTATCGCGAGCGCGTGCACTTCGCTGGCATTGATCACATCAGCGTCTACCCACACCCAGCCAGAGTCGACATCGCATGCGCTGTCAGGGAGGCACGTGTATATGTGCACTTTATCAATGCTGATAGCATTGACGCTGTCCTAGTCCACAGAATGTCCACTATCCGGGGAAGCTGTCTTACACACTCCTTCGTTGATAACACCTTCAGTAACCGTACAGCCAGCGTCTACGCCGGCATAATCAAACAACGTTGGTGCTAGCTCCCCGTGACCCAGTTGCAGCACCGTTGGGCTTTCTACCGCTGCTTTTCTTCCGTGAATTGCCAAAATGATGCTGCAAATGGAACGTTTTTGTACAGCCGGGCATAGCAAAATGCACAAGCATGTTACGGACATGACGCCAACGCAAGGGCAATACATTTTCAAAATAGCAGCAGACACTGCCAGCAAGTTTTCTTCGCCGATTGGCAAACGCCATTTTGGACACGTGCACCAAGCAACTAATAGAATCTTGCACTGAGCGTAATTTTGGCTTCGCTGCTTCGCTTTTTTTTTTTTGCTTTTGCCAAGGGCACATATTTGTCTACTGAAAAAGAAAAAAGCTAGAAGCACGACCAATCAAACAAGACCAAAATGGTGCCGGTGGAGCGCGTAGTTGACGTGCTGTCGGCGGTTAATGTACGGCTAGTTCCGACTTCTAATTCAAAGGCGTGCTTGCACATAGTTGCTCTTTTTATCGGTCATAACTTGAGAAATAAGTGGAATTTTGAAGCCAAATTTGCAAATATTTGGGAAAGGGCATCGAAAACGTGAAAATGATGAAAAATAAAATGTGAATTTTGGACCGATTTTTTACTTTTAAGAGCTACATCCTCCCAAGAATTGCTCATACATAGACTCAGCTCGTTGCCTCCTTTGTCGTTGCCTCCGTCCTTCCCCCTTTGTAGTTTCCAGCGCACTTGTTGAGATGAAAGCAGAGGAGCACTCAATGAGTCTAATGAATTTCCATAACTCAGCTCATACTTGATGCATTCATAAGAGTTATCGGCAATCGATTTACGAGGCAATAAATTCCCAATACAGGGGCCATTTGATGATTTCTAGGTGAAGTGTTGCAAGGCCCCTTTAAAAAAAAAGGGGGTGATTGTTCATAAAACTGGCGCTCCCGTGGGCCCCGTCTTGGTGTACGCACTCTCATAGCACTCATACCTACCCTCCTTTATTTCTGTGGCCTCCTCTTGTCACATGTGCAATGATTCACAGCCATGCCCTCCTAACACACATCTACGCGCAAGTTCCAAACCCACCACAAGTAGTCATGCAGCAGTCATTACTGCCCTCACCTTTGGGTGAAAGAAGGGACACTTGAGGTTGGTGCAGTGCGGGTAAAACTTGCACTGCTGCACCGATGGGGAGGACACCACTGTTTCCAGAAAAACAACAAAAGAAGGCAGAGCTCAACATGAGTGACATATGCTGAAGCTGCAAATTTTAAAGAGACACAAAGCACGAAGATATTAAAGTGTCGAGACACTCGTCTTCACACTGTTTTTTTTTTTCTTCTTTTTGTTCAGACTGCTCTCTTTACAGAGAACCTGGACAATGCTGCTCAGAAAGGAGTAGTAAGCTATACTTCGTTTCATACATGAGGTGCAATGCCGTGGAAGCTATGCAAGGTGTACAGCCAGCAATATGTGTGAGTATGCGTGTGTCGCGCTTTGCTTTCACTGTGGTAAATGCTCATGCGAGATGAGCATGAACACACATACTAAGTGTCATGAAAAAATACAGATACAGTGAAAGATCAGTATTTCGGATGCCCCTTTTTTCAAACATGTTTGATGACTTGGACATTTATCTAGCACCAGGACATACCACATAAATTCAATATATTTCACAGCTCAAAATTTCGGACACTTAAGGATGGGCTGTTCGATATTTCGGGCTTTCTAAGCACTAGTCGAACCAACCACCACCATTTTTTTGGTGCCGCCATCTTGTTTATTTACATTTTCCTGCAATAGCCTCGAACCGGTGCTGGCCTGGTGCATGACCAATATCTCTACTAGCCTTCGCTAGGGTTGCTACCTCGAACACCTTGAAGTGCTGGATCAAGGCTATTTCTGCATCAGCATTGCTGGCGAACATTTTTCTTTCTTCTCTCTTGTCACTGTTTAACAAATCGGACCACCTCGACTGACTGTTTGCCTGTGCGTGCGCCATGTGTTCCACCTGTGTTGCCTAGCAACAACGCCAGCTAAGTGCGCTGTTTCGTAATGAATAAGGGATTATCAATGTTATCGTGGGTCTCGAGAGCTCCTACGAAGTGGGGTGAGTATGTCACCATGTCGATGGCGAAGAAAGCTGCCATCGTCAAGCTCGTTGAAAGCGGCCGATCACGGGCAGCTGTTGTAAAAGGGTTTCAGATTTCCTAACAGACTCTTTCGGACCACATGAAATACAAGCAGCAGATTTTGGAGGCAGCGGAAAAGTCTACTGGATGTCACCTGAAAAATGCAAGCCAAGGCCCCTACTCAAAGCTCAAGGAGGCCCTTATTTTATAGCTGAAGTCAACAGCGGCAAGCAAGGTTCTTGTCTCCGGGGGCCTCCTCAATCAGAAAGCTGAGACAAAGGTGCTTCAAATGAATATTAGAAAGTTTAAGGTCAGTGATGGCTGGCTAAGAAACTGATCTCAGCTTTAAAACTGTGCAGCAAAAGTGCAGCTGTCGACCTTAGCGCTGTTGCGAACTACCGCTCTGAAAAGCTGCAGTCCCTTTTACAGCAGTACTCGCCAGATGATACTTTCAACTATGACGAGACTAGACTTTGTTTCAAGCTGATGCCAGAAAAGATTCTTGCCTTTGCTGGCGAGCGTTGCCATGATGGCAAACACAGTAAGGAGCGAGTTACTGTACTAATCGACAGCAATATGTCGGGTACAGAAAAACTGCCGATGCTCGTGATAAGCAAGTTGAAAGCATCGAGGTGCTTCAAAGGTGTAAATGAGACCAACCAAAAGGCCTGGGTAACTCGGCAGACTTTTGAAAGTTATGTGAGAAGACTAGATTGCAAATTTGATCTAGAAGGTCACAAAATTTTGTTCTTCGTTGACAACTGCGCTGCACACCGACACATTAACAACTTGAAGGCTGTGCGCGTCGAGTTCTTGCCACTGAACACTACAAGTGTCCTACAGCCTATGAACCAGGGTGTCAAACGCACTCTGAAAGTTAACTATCGCTTGCGTTCGTGTGCGGTGGTATGCCTCGACAGTCGAAAAGCGTACTCGGTCAATTTGCTTGGAGCAATTAGCATGCTCGCCGGTGCGTGGAGGTCGATGGCATCGACAATGCTGCGCAACTGTTTTTGCCACGCGGGATTCATACTGAATGGCGTGTCGGCTGCATCGGACGAGGGCAACGTCGTCCACCAGGTGTCCGGAGGTGAGGTGCTCATCGACGACCTTCGCACTGCGGGCATCGAGATTTCCCCATATGTCTCGTTTTACGAGTTTGCGTATGTGGACAGATAAAGAAATCATTCGTCAAGTTCTAGTAGCGTTTGAGAGCGACGATGATGACTTATCTGCAGCAGCTCAGACGACACAAGCTGAGCTGATGCAAGCTATCGCAACTTTTTCATCTGCTTACAGCGACACGGCAACTCTTGCTGAAATGCGGGCGTACATGCTCATGCAGAAGTGAAGCATAGTCCAGGAGACGATCAATCACTTTTTGCTCCCTCTATCTAAATAGTAAGCAATAAATTGAGCACTTTGGGGACACATTTGGATTTTCGGACTGCCTGATTTTTCGAACATTTTCGAGGTCTCTTGAGGGTCCGATAAATCGGTCGTCGACTGCAAAACATCAAGAAATGGGAACAAAGACATGTGAAGTGATCCAGAACAATGTATAGACAGATGTATTAAGGGGCCCATTTATCTCTATTGTACAAAGCATCTGCCTTGATCGTTAATTCCAGAGAAGAAAAGAAATGTATTAGACGGAAAAATCATCGCACTATTAGTGAAATATACACTGCAAAAAGTCTCGCTAACTTTGCCAGCATTGCACATGATATATGAAACAAAGTATGTGACCTGTAAACAGTAGCATCAACATTAAAGGCAAGGACAAACAAAACCCTACACATGACTGCTTGCCACTTAGCCACAATACACCCAATTGTTGTTTAGTGCCAAGTGGCCACAGCTTAGGACAGCACAAACGGACTACATAAAGAGTGCTTTTTTTACAGATAAATAAAAAAGAGAATTTTAATAGATGGCTTTGTCTTTTAACAGATGGTTTTGGGACACACAAAAAAAAATGAGAACAGGCAATAATGGCAAAAGAAGTCTAGGCGATGTTATTTGTAACGACTGTAATATATCATATTTACTTGCATAATGAATCCACCTTTTTTTAGAAAAGTAGATGCCAATTTCGGGGGAGGGTTCATTATGTGGGAGAAAAAAGCCATCGGAGTTATATCAGTGAAAATTTCGGGTGATGACATTGCTTGTTTTGACCCGTGAAATGCGGGCAAATTTTTTTTGTAGCCCAAAGCTCTTTCTGTTTTGTTCCGTAATGAAAGTGCATGGATCGACGCTGAAGTGTCGTCCAGCCGCTCAGTTCCAATGCTGCAGCCCGTGCTGTTAGTAACCAGCCGTGTAGCTAGTGTACCGGCCGAACGCACGCTGCGCAGCAGGTGTCCCAACTAAGTTCACAATGACAAACCCATTAACAAAAACGCAGCGTCGAACGGTGGCGCACAGACATTGTATTATATGTTGCGAGTGCACAACACGCTGTCGGCGCGGTGGTTGCAGTTGTGCTTTGCATAGGTCTGACATGGCGAGCGCGTGGCCTGTTCCATTTAGGACACCACGCACTTTGTTGTTGTGCCGCTGAGTTTGCGTGGCGCTACCAGCAAAGAGGTTTCTCGTGCATTCAACAGATGGCGCTTTGCTATACTAGGCGCGACTTTCAAATTTGAATTGTCATCGTCTGCGCTCACGCTGCTCGCAACTGTTTAGCATGATTGCATAAGTATCTTTTACTTTTATTGCATTGTTATTTTGTCATATAATGAGTTGATTTAACGTTGTTTTGATCTTTACCGGCACTGGCTGTCATACCGAAATAAAATGAACAGATACATTTAAAAAAATTTTTCATTCCCTTTTTGATGTGGTCTCCCCGTGGATGACCTTCGGGTCGGTTAAAACCAAGAGTTCACCAGGTCACATCCGTGCGACATGACAAACACAGAGAGAGTTGTTTCTCATTCCCTTTTTGAAGGTTCAAGGTGGGGGGGGGGGGGGGGGTTCGTTATGCAAGTGGGTTCATTACGCGAGTAAATTCGGTAAATGTGAAGAAAGTAGAGTGGAAGCAAAGATAACTTGCTGCTGGCACGAACCAAGCCTGCAATTTACATATAATGCACCCAGTGCTCTACCAACTCAGCTACGACAGCGGTCATCCTCCCATCCATTTCATTGGGTCTATATGTGCATTTAAAACCAGGCAGAGTTGGTCAACACTGCTCGTAGCCATGAAGGCGAATGTGAAATGTGGAAGGCGAATGTGGAATGCCCGACAACCTGGAATGTGGAAGGCGAATGTGGAAGTGCGACACAGCGTCCTGCAAGGGCGCTGTGTCGCACTTCCATATTCCTGATATTACTCTCCTGTAGGACAATAATATCTGGGAAACAGATATCCTGGGAAACACAGAGCTTTCTGGGAACAAGCTTTCTGGGAAACACATGCTCTCGCCTATGCAGCTGGTTGGCCACTCAAAACACAGCACCTTCTAGACAACGCCATGGTGTTGCTCCTTGCAAGGTTGATCATTCTGTTGCAGTCGCAAGCAGGTAAGTGTCGATGCAGGCTGGTGAATCACAGTTACCTCTTCTTTTTTGTGAATCCTGGAAAGCTCTTCACTAACTACCGGCACAAATAACATGATGATGCGCTGGGCTGACATCTTCGATTCTACTGCTGCCAGTCGTATTGGCACAAAAGGAGGGGGGTCATGTAATGCGCCTTTCACAGGTGGCTTTCCATGGTAAGGTGGTTGTACTCGTGATACATGGCGTTACACTTGGCAGATAAACACTTCCGTGTATCCATCCTTAAGTAGCTCGGCGACGATACTCTCCTCGTCTGTCTTTCTAATATAGCTAGTTGACATAAATGACTGGCAAAAGGTTGGATGGCTCAACGTTTTCATGAAGGCAAAAAGTGTAAATTTAAGGGCTAATTTTCTTTGTTAACTACAATATTCATGAGGACTAACAGACAATGATGCCAAGGAAAGTGCCTCAAGAACGAGACTGCAAGTTGAATTCAAAAACAAAAAACTCAAGAAAGGCAGCCATAAAAGGTCGACCCCCCTTTTATACACCAATCATTC